CAGTCTTACTAGTTACTGAAACAGATCAGTAAGGCTCTTGGGTTTCCCTGGATTAATCAAAACTTCTCTTCTGCTGGTTCTGACATGAACAAAACGTTGAATATATACACTTGATTTAATAGTGGTATGTCGCTCGTTAGGAAGACAGAGAGGAGAAAAATGTGGTAGAGGAGGCAATAATGAGATTTCTATTTCTGTGATCTAGGTATGACCATATCATCAAAATGTGGCAATACAAAAATAAAGACGTCTTCGATGGTCCTTTACAAGAAAAACATTGTATCTCCTTCTTCCTGGCTGTTCTGTGGTCCCCACCTCTGCATCAAGATTTTAGAGCTCTTAAAATAGGCAAGGGGATGCTCAAGCATCCCAATGTGACGGCAGGGTCAAGGATTAATAAAGTCTCAGAAAAGATTTTTTTGGCTTTTTTTTTTTTTTTTTTTTTTTGCCATTAGGAAAAGTAATTTCTTTTACATGGCTTGGCTCACAATTTAAGTGGTTATAAATATATTATAATATATACATGGTATCGTGGTATAAATAGATTTATAAATATACATCATTCTTTGCTACACTTAGAACGCCAACATGTAATCTTTGGGTTTAGCAGAGTAAAAGACAGAAGGACATGCAGTGTGTCCTTCGGGACCACACTTGGTTTCTCCGGCAGAGTAGCAAAAGCATTAGATAAGATATCACTTCCTGCACCACTTCTGGACACACTTCGATGAGGTAATTGTTGTTGAACAACTTTGCAATGCCCTTTCATCTTCAATTAAATTAACTGTAAAATGTAAAAACACAAATACTGAGGAAAATCTGACTTTAACAGAACAAATACAATTGATGTGTTGGGGATAAGAATGTTCATGACCCGCTTTTACCCTTAGATGACCAGAATACCCGTTTATCTATTTGCTTTTAGTTTGATTTTGAAGCGTGGCCTGAGCCTGTCTACCTCAACTCCTTCCTGGTAGAAAGCACCATGTTTGTGCAATTTTGACATTTATAAAAAACAACACAAAAGAAACCAACAACAAAACAACACCTAGACTTAAGCCCCCAAACCTCACACATACAAAACCACCTGTGCTTTGGGAAAATTTCACAGTGGCTTGAAACATGGCATTTTTGTCTTCTTCACATTTTCAGATAATACGTTGGGATGCAAAAGTCACGTGGCCGCTCTGGTCACATGATTCTGGGAGGGGGTGGAAAGACTGCTTTTTTTTGGAGAAAAAGGTTGGCAAAGCCTTCGTGTCACCTTTCTGGTAAAACTGTGGCTTCGGAAAAAATATGTACTATCAATAAAAACATAAAATTCCCTTTCTTATTTCTTCTCATTTATCAGTGGGTAATTCTGCACACATACCCCCGAGTAATACAATGCTATTCAAATGATACAATCCTATGGATCAAACACATCAATTGTCTAACTTTGGCAATACCAAAACCTCATTTTCAAACCATAATACAGAGAGGTTGACTGAAGTCATGTATTTGTTTACTGAATCTTAGAGACTTACACAGATGTGCAGAAATTATCTACAAAGAATGGCCACAAAACAAAATACAACATTTATGCTAAAATGACAAGGAATCTTTCCAGTCATTGTAAACTTTTTTAATTATTGCTTTTTGAATGATAAATTGTATAATAAATTATGAAGGATTATCACTGAAAAAATAATTATGGCTAGTCTTAGTAATGGGGAAAGCTATGCAAACATATCCACACAAATATTCAAAATACACAGGTTCAAATATATAGACGTGGGTGTAAATAAGTATATATAATACGTATATATATATATATATATATATATTGTCTTTTCTTATTTATGCCCTGAGATTTCAGTAACTTTGTAGTTCCACCTTCAATTCCAGACAGGTGCTGTCAGGAAAGAGCTTTGCAGAACTGGAATTACATACAAGCAACTTGCCGCAGGCACCCTGACTTGAAGTCAGAACTTAAAACACTTGTTTTCTGAAAATCTTAAGGATCCATCGGTTCGACTGTTTCTTGTTTGACCTTTACAGGTACCAGAGGTAGAGGGTTGCTGTGAGGCAACTTGATGAGGGACAGGTCTGATGACTCATAAAGGCTACACCCGGAGGACAGGAGTCCATTCCCCATGTTTCTTTGCAAAGACGCTTTCAGGCCAGTTTCTTCTTTCTCTTTTCTAACCACAGCCATTATTTCCTTCTCCACCATAGAAGTCACATCGATGTTATCCTCCATGTCCTCGAGGCGGTCGGCATTGTCGCTGATGTCAAACTTCTCGATTTCCTCGTTGATTCGGGTCAGGTCCTCCAAGGACAGCCCAGTGGCTGGAGCCACAGGGCAATTTCCCTTCAGGTGGACCTTGAGGCTGCAGAGATGGATATAGCTCTTGTGGCACTGGGCACACTTGTGGGGCCGCTCCCGGGTGTGCAGACGCTTGTGCAGTTTCAGGTGCACGAACTGGGTGAACTTGGCAGGGCACACCTTGCACTGGTAAGGTTTCTCTCCAGAGTGGAGTCGCAGGTGGGTCTTGAGATTGCTGGTGCTGCTGAATCGCTTGTGGCAGACCTGCAGGGCAGGGGGTAGGGCAGGCAGAGAAAGGAGACGGGAAGACCCGAAGATTAAGAGTCGCCAATGGGAGGGGCAGGCTTACAGGCCAACACCCAGCAATCTGGGAGGAAGAAGCCTCCTGGGGCACTCATGGTGTGGTATTAAGCAAACAAGGGGATGTGGGCACACTGCACACGAGGTGCTGTTTACTTCCCCTGCCAGCTTCCCACCCACTGGAAGCTGGCTGTCACCACTTCAGCTGTAGGCGGGTACAGAGCACTAGGAGGGCCACAGGGCCATCAACCCATGGCAAGGCAGAGTCCTCTTTTTAAAAAGTTTACTTACTTCTTTCTTTCTTTCTTTCATAAGCAAGAGAGAAAGAGACAAGGGGAAAGAGAGAGACACACCACGATCAACCCCCAGGTTCTGCTAGCCCTGGATCATGGGCACGCAGGTGCCTGGCATACTTGGGGGGAGGGTCTCCAGACACAGGCCTGAAACCTTCCTGTGTGGTTCAGCTTGGCAGAATAGAGCAGTTTACCACTAGGCCACAGTCTGGCCTCCTATAAGGAGGGATTCCTGTTGGTCTAAACCGTAGGCTGTAGGACAGGGGCGGACAAGGCCGCAGTCATTTTCTAGCAACGTTGAAAGTTCTACCCAGAAAGCACTGCCCACCTGGCATTCGTGTGGCTTTTCTCCCGTGTGTACCAGGTAGTGTTTCTGCAGGTGGGCGAGCTGGGTGAAGCCCTTGTTGCAAGTCTGACATTTGAAAGGCCGTTCTCCACTGTGGACTCTCAGGTGGACCTGGGAAGAAGCCACACAGGTTAGCTCTACTCTCGTCAGCTCTGACACCCGACATTTCTATACAAACCCTTCGGGGTTTATGATGCAAACATCGTAAGAACAGCATCAAGACAAATTATTAAAAAAGAACAAATAAAAGCCCAGTGTTTCCAGAGTGCTTTGTTTTGCTTGAGCTGAAAGAACAAAACAACAACAAAACTCACGGGCTAGCCAGAACTTTAAACTGATCTCTCTAACCCTAAACCCTCCATTGTATTATGCAGAGCAAACTCAGGAGAGGGGAAGTAACTCGTGCAAAGCCACATAGCTAGGCATGGCAAAAGCAAAACAAGACTCCACGCAGGGTGGCAAGCTGTGAAAACATAACTTCCGGCCTATGGAGTGTGGGCTGCCTATCCACACCAGTGCCACCCCGGGGTGCGCGCGCGCGCACACACACGCACACCCTCTCCAGGCGTACCTTCAGGTTGGAGAGCTGGCCAAAAGTCTTGGCGCAAACGTTGCATTCATACTTAATCTTGCCGTTCTGCTTCTTCAGCGGGTAGGGAAGCGTCTTGTAGCCCGTCATGTTCCTTTTGGTTTTGATGAGATTCATGGCTTCATCACTGCTGGGGGCTGCCATCGCTGCTGCTGAGGTAGCTTTGGGTTGCACCACGTGCTCGGACGTGGCGGCTGTTCCCGCGGCCGGAGACCCACTGGTGGGGCTGCAAGTCTTGTCCTTCATGCTGGCGGCGGCCCCGGTGAGGGAAAAGGCACTGTGGGGCGCCGGGACTAGCACCTCGCGGGGGTGTTCCGGCTGAAGCAACCTGCGGGCTCCATCCGTGGGCAGCGAGCTCGGCAGAGAGGCCGGGGTGAGCATGGGGTGCGGCAGGCTGCCCCCCGCCAGGAGGTTACTGTAGACTGGGCACAGCCTCGGGAAGAGGCCGAAGTTGTTGATGCCGTTGATGGCGCTCACCGCGCTCAGGCCGTTGCAATTCATGCCATAGGGCGGAAGGAGGAACTTGGGGTAGTGGGCGTTGTAAGAGGGGATGAAAGCGGGGGGCAGGTGGGGCACAGGGGCATAGCCAGGGTATGAGCCCAGACCTTCGGAGCCGTAGGGCCCATTCAAGTACGAGTAGGAGTCCCGGGGGTCCTGCGAGCCAGGCGCCAGAGGGGACACCGTGTTCCCGGGGCTGCTGTGGGGGCTGGAGCTCCGGAGGCTGCGGTCGGGGCTGCTCCTGGCCGAGGGACTGGGAGTGGTGGAGGACGGCACGGGAGAGTGAGTCACGTAAGTCGGCCTCTCCATCCCATAGGCCAGGGAAGCTTTCAGAAAGTCTTCCGGGAGAGGGGCCCGGATGGGGTAAACCACCCGAGGGTAGAATGGCCTTTCAGGGCTCCCGTTTTTCCTAAAGTCGTCGGCGTCCTTTCCTGCAGTGAGCGGGGAAATGTTGGCGCGGTACAAGTCCTTTCCTCTGGAGGCGTTGGAGTCCAACTTCAGGATTTCTTTCACGCTGTACTCTCTCTTCGGGGCATTCTTTGGACAAAGTTCGTTTTTCTCAGTGCTGGGCTGCTTGGGATTGCTCTGTGCTTGAGCTGAAATAAAGGACAAAGGGCGATTACTCAGAGGCCAGGAAGCCAAGTCAAACTGCCTGGTTGCTGTCACGTCGTGACAAAACCTGGGCACCTGCTGGCACCTTGGTGGACATCGATCCCTGGCTTCTAACGCCCTCGCATCCCAAGAGGGTTCTCTGAGCACCTGGCTCAAAAGACCAGCGCGGTGTCCTCCTCAGAGACGGGGCAATGGCAGCACCTCTAGAACGAACCGGTCGTTTGGATGGTTTCGTCCCATCAGTGCGAACTTTGTCATAGAAAGTACTTTTCAAGCTAGAATGAGAAGCATCCACCGAAATGGGTGGAAAAATACTGGGTGGGGGTGGTCACAGGTTGATACTAGGTCGCTGGGATGTTCAGTTCACCTAGAGGAAATCAGCACAACCTGCGAGCTAGATGTGAAAGATTAAGACTCATTTCGAGTAAGAAACCGTCATCAGTTTTCACCTCGCGTCTCGTTTCATACGAATTTGATAAAGCCCTTTTCAAACTGCCTATGCCAAACAGAGTAGCGACGTGGTTGCCACCTCTCTGCGTGGTTTGCTGACAGCGCAGAATTTCACCAAGGCTCTGTCTGGTCTAACCAGGCTCCCAGCAGAGCTGTCCCCTGGAATCACAAGGCGTGACAGTTACCCTCTGCCAAACCACAACAGATACTTCCCGAGCCAGTTCAATTACTTAGAGCACCAAACACAACAGAGGCAGCTATGAGGAAAGCATGGATTCCCAAAGACGGTGTGTTATTACTTGCTAAATATACTGCTTAGGAGCAGCAGCAATAAGGACAGCTCTAGACCATGCATGTCACTGCCAGCACTGTCCCCCCAAATGTACAGAACAAGTAACACCTTCAGGAAAATGCCAGTGAGAGCCAGGAAAACTGCCAACTCCCTGCTCAGCATTCTCGGGAAACCCAAAGCGAAGGAGGTGATGCGTGGTGTGAACTCTGGTTCCTGTAAGGCAATTGCTCAAGCCAGGACACCTGCCCTCGGAGGACGTATGGCCTCAGCCATCGGGGTCTGGAGATGCCTGGTGGGCAAAAGAGTTCTGGCCTCGGCATTAGAAGACCTGGCAGGTGCTGGGGATGGCATGGTAGAGCCTTTGCACAAGTATCTTCCGTTGTTTAAAAAAATATCCCTGTTTGAGTAAACTGAGAAAGAACTCCAGGCTTACTATCTGATAGGTCTAGTAATGAACTCCGTGAAACTCCAGATTGGAACCCTTCAAATCCATTCTCCAAGCTGACAGACTTGAGGGATTTGATTCCAGTTTGAGAGCCCGGGAGAGAATGTTATCTCTGGCCAGCTGTTATCAGTTACCCCTGAGCGAGCCAGAAGCCCCAGAATAAACACAGCACTATCAGGAAGATGCTGATCAGGGAGCAGTGATGGAAAGCTTGTTGAGGGAGAGGGATTTCTGAAGCCACTAAACCAAAATAAATAGCCCCTTATCAGGCCAATATCAGTCTTTCAGTGAGGCCCCGCAGGCAGGAAGTTCAAATTGTCACTTTTGTTTTTTAAAGCTGAGAAGGTAAAGGAAGAGAAAGACAACTAAGCTGGAGAGCTGATAGGCAAGGCATCTCGCGGGCACAGCAAGGGACTTCATGGAGGTGAAAAGGCATGATATGGAAGCATTCACACAGGCCATTAGAAAAAGAGAAAGAAAAGAGGGGAAAAAAGACGCCATCCTAATATGAAAATGCAGAAACTTCACCCTTATAACTCTGTGCCAGTTTTATGTGGCAAATTACAGCTGTCTCATAACTCTTCCAGTGGCTTTGCTATCACTGTGGTTCTAAAACCCAACAAATTAAAGGCACAAACAGAAAAGCTTAAGGCCCTCCATGGCACTGCCCTTCCTATGTAGCCAGGTGTTCTTTTTAAGTACCTTACTCTAATTTGATTATTTAACTGACATAAAGCTCATGACTGGGCCAACAACCCCAAAAATCAGAGTTTTAAATTTTCTATGCAAAATAATTAGCACAGTGCCCAGCAGATAATAAATCCACAGTAAGTGTTTGTCATTTCTTATGCATTCAGGAAAAGAGATTTACAAGTTATTCCTAAAGGAGTATCTAGAGCAACATGCTGGCCTCTCTAGGACATTCCGGAGGTGGAAATTCTGGAATCTATATGGAGGTACATTTAAAAAAAAAAAACCATCCTTCAGCAGCTGAGTAATCAGTGGAGCTGGTGTCATTTCTGACTCTCCCACTCAGCAGCAGTTTGAGTGAACATGAAAAAGAAAATCAAGATCTGTTTTTGTTCTTAAATCTTAAATGGCTGTAGGCGGACGAAGTCATTTCCAGAATGAGCTGCTTCTGAAGGCTCTGAATGGCTTAATTATGCCGACTCACATTTTCGATCTATAATAAGAACCCCCAAGACTACAAAAGAACCTAGAAGTTCTGCAGTAGGCAAAACAAAGTCTGTTTTCAACTGAAACTGAGAAAGCAGATTAACATTTAGAAGTCTATAATTTGGTCAACTGTTTTCTAGATGGGTTAGTTAGATAGATATAGAAAAAATATATATCCCCCCCCAAAAAAAAAGAGCGGGGGGGTCTAACTTAATAGTTCTTTTACTCTTTTTATTTTGAAAACAATTTGTGAGTTCTGACTACTTACTCTTTTTTTTTTTTTTTTACTTGAATTTGCTTCCATTTCCTTTTCCTTAAAACTCTACTAAATGAACCATCCCTGCTGGTTAAGGCCTCCCTGAGACTCTGGCTCCAACTTGTAGTTTGCTTTCAGCATGGAAATCCAACACAACTCATTTGGAGACACAATCTACCTTTAAGCCCTGATGAAATAGTGGAAATTTTCCTGATCACAGCTTCAATCATCAGTTGCCACACCTAAGACAACTAACTGGTTTCACAATCAGCGGCAGGAGTCTTGTTTTAATGCGACTGGTATTGTTAACTCTCTTTCTTTACTATGAATATTGGACAATGAAAGGGTACTTGAACATGTTAAACCACCACTTAGAAAAAATCAGCATACATAAAAAAGGATGTTTGAAGGAAGGAAGGTGTCATTCCACTGCACACATGAAAGCTGCTCTAAACACAAAGATTAATCACTTGAATCTTAAAATACTGTGTGCAAAGCTTTTTGTTGATAAACAAAAAAAATTCCAGGTTTTTAAAACCTTTCTTTGACCAGCACAGGCTGGGGGAGCATGCAAAAACATTTCTACATGGTTGGTGCAAAGTCACTGAGGTAGGTCACCCCAAATGGACTTGGTTAAATAAATTTAAAAAAAAAAAAAAGACTTTCTCAGAATCAATGAACCATTATACTCAAGGAATGTAAGGAGACCCTCAAGAGGAAGTTGTTGGCTAAGCTTAGCGTTAGGAAAGGGTGGCCCATCTTCCCATGAAATCCCCCTATGGAATTTAATTTCCACAACCTGTCTTTGTGGGGTTTGTTTGTTTGTTTGTTTTTACCACCAGGTCCTTAGCACTGGGCTTGGCACATACAGGTGCCAAAACAGCTGATGGCCCCCTGGGTTCTTGGGCCTTGAGATAGGAGTCTCAGAGAGTGCTGAAGAGACAGATAAGGGAAAAGTTCTGCCATCTTTGGTCAAGAGTCAGCTATACCCATTATACTCATGTAGGAAGCCAGTTTGTTTCCAAATATCCCAAGATCCTTTTCTGAAGGAAAGACACATACTATGTGTGTGTTAAAGACCATGAACGCAAACACAAATCTTTTTTTTTTTTTTGGAGAAGTTTTTGCTATAGGGCACATGCAATCGCCAGAAAGACAGAGAGACAGAAAGCGAGAAATCATCCCCCAGAGGGTATGGCCACGCCGCAATCCCTTCTCCTCCATTCTCCTCTCAGGATCTTGGGCACGCACACACACGCGCCCAACATGAGTTTAAGCCACCATTTCTGGGACTTGAACTGCAGTCGACTACATGGGAGTCCAGCAACATAACCATTACGCCAACTGCTGGTCCAAGATACAAATCTCACAATGTGATTCTAAGGAGAGGCCCTGAAGCTTATTTAGTCCTTGGTTTTTAGAAAACTACAAATACAGCCTTGAAGTCACCAGGGGGAGATGAAGTAAACTGAGCAGTGTGGAATGGACACCAGGTATTTGTACAGTTGGACTGTCTATGACCAAGATAAGTAATTGCTTTGTTAACTGATCCAAAAGTTGAAGTCAAAATTCTACTGTATCTTAAAATTAATATTTACTGGAAATATTTCAAAGCTGTAACTCTGTGAGCTAAAATAATTTAGCCTCAGACAAGGCACACAGGACAACATATCACCAGCTGATCAATCTGGGTAAAGGGTAACTAGGAATTCTTCACTTGGAATGTTTCCTTAAATTGGAAATGGTTTCAAAATTGAAAGTTATAAAAATGTCAGCATCTAGTTTTAGTTTTAAACTAGAAGGAGCTCATTTGAAAATTGCTTTATATTTCCCACTTAACCAAGAATACACAACCATAGTTAGGAGAGGTTAGAACTGTATGGTTAATTCTTAAATTATTCATAGAAATCACTTGAGAATGATTAAAATAGGGAGCCTTTTGCAGAGAGAGGTCATGACTAATTCTAACCAGATTTTTAAAAAGCAAAAGCATATCAACCCAATATACTGAGAATTTATTAAGATAACATGATAAGTGGCTACTGTAATACTGATCAGGAGATCAGATAATTAGGTTTTTACCATAAGGAAGGAAGCAAAGATAGGGAATCTCTAGGGTTATTTATTTAGATTAATATTTGAAAATTACTAGTGTTTTACTAGAAACAATCTTATCATGTTCTACATCAGACTGTATTTTATATTCAAGCATGCATCTCTATATTTCAACACACATTTTAGGCGCCAAGAAACTATCACTAACAAGGGGCTGGCTCTCACATACCCAGCACATCTAGACATGCCTCTTATACTCCCGAGCATCCCCTTCTGGGTCAATTAGAATTGGACATGTATTTCTTCCTGTAACTTTCTGAATTAAACACTCAAATTAGCTCTTAATATTTTTTCGAATGATCAAGTTTCACAATAAGGAATAGAGACTAAAAATGTTTTTTTTTTTTTTTTTGCTCTTCCTCGTCCCTTGCTTAAACCACCTCCTAGGTCCAACAGATGAGGAGCCATATAATTAAACACCATGTTATTT